AAAACTGGACAGCAGCATGTAAAACAATGAAGCTAGAACACTCCCTTATACCATATACAAAAATCAACTCAAAATGGATCAAAGACTTAAACATAAAGTTACTTTTTATACTTCTCTTCAAATATAGCTCTAGGAGAGCAGTTTTCAACTTCCAGGGCTGCCTAATGGTTACCTTCCACTCTCAATACTACATTCAACTTCTAAGAGAACTGAAATCCAAATAGAAAAAAGTTCAAATAAATATAAAACCAAATGCATTATCTTCCCCACTGCTTCTCCACCAAGCCAAACCAGTTCCCCTAAATAACTTGGCTTTTTAAAAAACCTTAATGACAAAAGCTCATCTTTGACTCTTTCTCTCTGTTGCCCCTTATTCTTGTGGTGGCCAAGTCTTGTTGATTCCTCATTCTCAATGTCTCCCCCATCCATTGTTTTCTTTCCACTCCCAAAGCCCCCACCCCCTTTTTTAAATGTCAACCTGAATCACTATGATAGGCCAGTAATGCTGCCTCTTGTCTCTTCTCTATTATTGCCCTATTAACCTTCTAGAAACTTTCTCAAAATATTTAAGGACGCCTCATTACACAAGGAATGAAGTGCAAATGCCTTAGACCAGTGCTCAAAGCCCTCTTAAATTTGGTCTTTACATTCTGCTTGGCTTCGTTTTCTGTGACCCTCTATTTTAGCCTTTGTAGTCTCAGTGTGGACAAATGAAAAAGTCAAACACAAACAATGCTTATGTTTTGTAATGCAAACTTACAGGGAAGAAGTCTTAGGAATTAACACCAACAGATACAGTCTGCAGATTTTCATTTTAACAATTCATTCAGCTTTTTAAAAATTCCCTGTATTTACCTTCGCTCATACATACTTTCATAGAAACACAGCTAGTTACCAGGTAATCAACAGATATCCATTGTTGCAGTAATGCTTTTGAAGGAAACCTAAAGCTGTCCAATGTGAGTCTTAATCCAATGACAGCTTCAGACACGCATCGCATAACTCGTATTGACTTGTGACCTACCCGCATTCAGAAATATCCCAGAACATAAATGTCTCTGACATTTAATATGATAGAAACTGCTTATTTCATATGCAGGATGTGACCTTGAAGGACATAATGTGATTTATCAGGTATGGTCACCTTTCAATAAGAACCCAACACAAAGTGATTTGAGCAATAAAGGGAATATTTTGACTCATGTAACTCAAAACATGACATAGTTACATCCAAGAGTTCAAACACGGTCACCAGGAAACATCTCCATATTTCAACTTTGCATTTCTTCATGCTTCATTCCCCAGTAGATTCTTTCTAGATAGGAGCAAAGATAGTCACCAGCAACTCAAGTCTTAGCAACCCCAGCAAAAAGATGGTGTCACTTTCCCAATAATATCAATATGCATCCTGGACTCGATGACCCAGTTCGATCATATGCCCATTACTGAACCAATCACTGTGGCAGGTTATGTTGTCTTGATTACCGAGAATTGTCTCATATACTCCTGCTCCCTGCTGAAGCCACAGGATGGGGTCAGCACCAGTGAACTAAGATTAAGAATGGAGGAAATATGGTTTTGCCAAGGAAAATCAAGGTGCTGTTATCAGAAGAGAGAAGAGATAAAAAACAAACAGGTGAATACTAGGAGCAGATTCTTACATTCACGGGCATGCCTATTACCTCTTACTATCATATATTCCATAATGAGTCCCACAACTTTATAATCAAAATTTTAAGATTAACTTTAGCAATTTGTATTAATATTTTTAACATCCTACCCTTAACCCAGCAACTCTATTTCTAGGAATAATTGCTATGCTAATAAGTGTTTTCCTACATGCCCAACACTGGCCTATGTACATTACAGATGTTATTTCATTTAATACAGAGCTCGAGGATGAAGTGGTATCATTTCTATTTTTGAGCTGAAGATATTGAGCTGTTAAGTGACTTAAATAAAGATGCACAGCTCATAAGAGGTAAAGCCTGAAGTCAGCCTTCACAGTCTTCACCACTATTAGTTACTTCCCTCAGAAATCTCATACAGTCTCATAAATTTATTCTAAGAAAAAATATGACAGGTGAGAAAAGATATATATCCCAGGAGGTTATTTATAAATATTTGTCCACAGAAATCAAGTGTGAAATAAGGTATCAATAAATTATGTCACCCTACATGTCCCTTCATTATCAGTAAATATATACTAAATTCCTACTTTATAAAATAATGAAAGATTAATGACTTTTTTGGTAAGGCTGCGAAATTACAATTTTGTTCAAACCAGCTGTGTAAGCTACAGAACCATCCACAGTCAAGGTTAATCAGACACAGTAAGGCCTTGTGCATTGTTTCCTATCTATCACCCTGCCAGTTTACCATTTAGGAAAAAGTTGAATACTTAATCTATACAACCACTCAAAATACATCTTTATATATTGCAGCTGTCTACTATCAGGCCAAAGGGAGCTTAAGGCTAAATTATTTAACCTGATCACACTCAACACTGGAACATTCCATCAGATGGGAAAGTGAGCAGCCTGGGAGCCCACAGAGCTGCTGGTTTTAACCAGTGCACCCAAGAGTGAGAAGCTTCTGTTGGCCATCAGAAACCTTTGCTCTGCCCTAGTCCTCAAATCAGGGCAAAAAGGGGGCAGGACAGCAATGGTCCTGAAGCGAATGAAGCGCTTAGACCACTGTAAGGACAGCTGGAAAGGTAGCCATACTGGTCCAGGCTTCTGACATGCTGCCTGGACTGGATGGGAGGAGGGGGAAAACTCAATACATACAACTCTGTAACGTACAGAAAGAGCAATTAGTTCATAATCAGTCTCTTTTTTTAATCGTGCCTCCATTTCTCATTATCCTCAGGAATGTATCCTCAGCAAATATAGCCCTAAAACACTCCTGAAAAGCACATGAAGGAGAAGCTCATTTGCACAAGAGTAATTATTTAGTCCTGTGAACTTTGAATTTGCATAATCCCCTTTCCTTTCCCCACTTTGTAAAGGACTTTGATTTTTTTTTCTCTAAATGACGTGGGCTGGGAAAAAGAATTAAGCAAGCATCAAAGTTCTCGCTCCTGTGTTCTCAGCTATTACATTAATCTTTAAAATTTTTCTCTCCCCTTTATTAAAAATCAGTGACTCATCCAACTTTACACATAAATCCACATCAAAGTTAATTAGAATCTCGGTAGTCTAATGTTTGTCTCTTCCTCTATTAATTCCTAGAAGCTTGAAGCAAGGCTCTGTGTGTGATTGTAGAAGAAAGGAAAAGAGAAGCCAGTGGACTGACCTGCCGTTTATTCACAGGCAGTGTTTGCGTGGCAGGATTCAGAACTGGCTGCAAGCCCAATTGGTGTGAAGAAGACCCAGGCCTGTAAGTAGCCTTGCTGATGGTCATGCCAGCCTCCTCTGGAACTGCAGTGAGCCCTGACACCAATCCGAAAGAGGGAGGAGGCAGGTAAGAATTCAACAGCAGAGGATACAGCTCTGCTTGCTAACGTCTTTTTCTCTCCCTCCCCTATGATCGGGAAAAACAGCCAATTATTCTTATAAATTGAATTTCTCTCCTTCCTTCCTGTAAAGTTAAAAAAAAAAACAAAAAAACCCTACCATGCAGCTTTGCATAACATCTGCTAGAAGCAGAGGGGGGAAGTGCAAGAGGGAAGATGAGTGCAAAATAGAAATTATCACTTAACAAGACATTTTTGCATTTGGTTTTCTCAAAGTGTACCTGGATACAAAATGTAGGGAGAGTACCTGAGTGGGACAGGGGATTCGATCTAATATACTTATGAGTGAGAAACTGACAGCACCAGCTCCAGGATTTTATTGCATATTGATTTTGCTTTAGGAGGTTTGTGTGGAAATCACATAAAACAAACTGAGAAAACTAGTTTTCTTCCCTGACCATTCTTGAAAAGTACTGGGAACTCTTCTAAAATATTTTCTTACTTTAAAAAAGTAGTTGCATTATTGACATTCTAAAGTCTAAAGAATAAACAACAGGAAAGCCAAAAATGTATACACCATAACAAGAGGCTTGATTCATTCACAGATAAGACAAGTTAAAGTTTTAGAGCATAATAAATTTATTTCACATTAATACATTTGAAACTACTCCCTGTAAAGCCATATAATTCCATGCTATATGTAAGGAGATAATTTGAAGTCCTAGAAAGACTTAAAACCAGAAGGGTTAATATTGAGTTTAACCAACACTGGAGGATTGATGCAGGCACTCCAGGTCCGTGGGAAGTGTTCCCCTACCAAAGGGCTCTAGGACCCCCTGCCCCTGGCCACAACCCAGGAGCCACCACTTCTCTGGGTGTGCACCTGCTCCCCCACAGCCCAGCAGCAAACACTCTGCCAGTTGGCAACCCCCGAATCCTCAGGTAAGTCCTGAGGTGCAGGTAGAAGAACATCTCGTTTGTCCTTTGGCCTGAGTGGTGTCTGACCCTACGCCAGAGGAATCTCAGCAATGTCTGGTGCCCTGACGTGTTAGCAGTTTAGTGCATCAGCACTTTCCCCTTATCTCCTCAGCTCTCTCCTTCCCCAGGATCTGGCCAGCACTGCAGGACCAAGGACATATTCTGAGAACAGTCGCTGCATTGTATTCAGAACTTCCTCCCTTAGCCCTGATGACTTTGTTCTGGGTCACGTTCCACATGCTCAGATCCTTTCCTCCCAGGAAGTTTCTCACCCTGTCCCACCCCCTTTCTCTCCCCTCAACACAAGCATCATGCAGTCTGACAGCTAGCAGGGAAGCTGGAGAGGCTGAGCCCCAGCAGCGGGCCAGCTCGGCTTCCCTTCCCAGGACGCTCTTCTGCCTCCAATCGACAAGAACTCCAGGCAAGCCGAAACCCCAGAAGTATTGATAATTCCAAGGAAGAGTCCAGAAAAAGGACAGGGAAGGTATAAGGCAGAATCAAGGGCCCTTTCAGTCCCACAGAGCAGTGGCCACAAGATGGCTTTGGATCAACGAGTGCTTCTCACCATCATACAGTGTGTCTAAACCATAGAGGTGGGGGTGGGCATCGACGGCTCAGATATGATAAGCAATTTATAATATTCACACTGTCACATAAGACCAGGTAAACCAGACTTGGGTTTTGCAATTTATATAGCCAAGTTCATGTCCTTGTGTCAGCTCTGTCACTCTTCTACCTGTTACTACCCAGTCCCTTTGAGATATGAAAAAGGTTTGTTTTCCAGCATCCCTTGGCCCTTCTTTCTCTAGATGACACATTTAAACTTTGCCTTCATTTTTTAATGTTCAACTCCACCCTGGCTCTTATGGAGCTATTATTATTTTGTATGAAACAAAAGGATAAACACTGAATTTTGACACATCCTCTGTGTAATGCTGATTAACACATACAAATGAGACATTTGTTTTGATTCAATATATGTAACAGAAATCATACAGAGAAGCCATGTTTTATGCAGGGTTAGGGTCTAAAGGCAGCATGTAAACTAAAACCATGTAGCAGCTAAATGTTTTATTCCCTTAAAGTAATTTGGAAGGCATAATTTTGTGTATATACAGCTCTACTTAGTAATATAGATCACTTTCAAATGATTTCACTTAATATGAGACATGAAAAACATAATTTCCAAAAATGTTTAATTTCATAAGAAAGAAGAGTGAGACATTGGTATTCTTCATTGAGTTCTGAATGAAGTAGCTGGTTGGCATTTAAAGTGTATATTCTATTTAAAAAAAAAACATAGCAAAAAAGAAAATCAGGTCTTTAAGGGCTAGACTCTCACAGAGCAGCAAGACGCTCCACTGTGAGAAGCACCGGAGCTGCGACAACCCAGGGGAGCACCAGTTGTTGGTGTCACGGTAGATGCACTATTAGAATGAATATTTTTGTCTTTCTCCAACTTTTATCTTGTTTTTCTGGTTGTGTAGGCTGTTAGCTTGCTAAGCCAAGCACTTTTAGTTGAATTCCCATAAATTAAATTTGTATGTGTAAGAAATGCAGCTCTACTATAGAAGAAAATATATATCAGGTTGATTATCCAGCAATGTTCACTTATTCATTTATTTAATCTGAATATGAAGTTTGATTCCTTTTTACTGGGGGAATTGAGTCTCCTGTTGCCACTTCTGCATGCCCATATATACATGCACATACGCATGCTTGTGTCACACGCACTTACACACATACACACACTGCCACCACCGAGGGGACAGTGACTGAAATACCTCCCTCCAAAATCTCCAGTCAAGGTTTAATCAGCTTCCTCCCACTAGCTGGTGAACTCCTTGGCACCCTCCCCTCCCCATATGGCCAGATGTCTCACCTACTTCCCTGCACCCCTGCAGGCAACTACGTGGTGCCCGTAGTGCACTGAACCCCAGGGCTGCATCAGCACCTGCCCTATCCAGGCCCTGCTGTGCGCTGCAGGCTCTGCTGCCCTCGCTATGACCAGCACGTTTGCTTTCGCGTGGCTGCCTTTCTGCCTGCCCGCCCCCACCCCCCCAGCACTGCTGGCAGAGGCTTTACTTTGTTGCCCTCGCTAAGACCTCCGTTACTGCTGCTTCTCCCCTAGGAAGGCAAGAAACAGGAAAACAGGGCACTATTAGATGCTGGTCAGCTCTCCTGCAAGGGTTCAAGGTCTGAATTCCTGGGTTATAGGAAGTCTTGATGATACTACCTCAGGAAGGAAGCGGGGGCCTCATCAGCAGAGGGCGTATTGCAGGTTGGGGAAATCATGAACATGAAATACTAACAACAACAAACACTCACATAGAGCTTAGAACATTCTAGGCACTGTTTTAAGTGCTTGACACACACTAACTCACTTAAGGCAATTACTTTCAATGTCAGAAACATATTCCTACTGGTATTGGCCTCCTGGCCCCACCCCAAACTTCCCAATAGGAGGGAACTCCCTTTCTCTCCCATCACCAGCCAGAGTGACAGTTCAGTCAGGCCATCCCCGGATCGCACAAGGCCGATGCCCGGCTCCACCCAGATTCTGAGCAGTCCTGGATTGCTAGGTTATAACATACAGTATGGGCTTTCTAGGAGCAGATAATGAGTCAATTCACATTTTAAAACATCTTTTATAATGAAAATGAGGAGGGAATTTTATATATACATATATACATGCATGTGCATTTACATGCTTATCTCATACATGAGATACATATGAGACGTATAAGAAAACAAATGTCTCCTATGTTTGTCTTTGTATAGACATGTGTTTTCTCATATATATATGAGATAAACATATAAATGCACATATCCTATATATGAGAAAAATACATGTAACAAGAAGAGAAGAGAGAAGAGAAGAGTTTAATGAACCCTTACATACCAGTCCCATCTTCAACAGTTACTAACATGGGAATAATTCTGTTCCATCCCTACCCCCACCCACAGGATTATTTTGAAGCAAATTGCAGATGTCCTCTTATTTCATCTACAAACATCTCAGTATGTGTGCCAGTTAGCACTTTAATACTCTTCAGCTCCAAATTCACCCTTCTTTGTTCCGCTGTGTGATACTGGAGCTGGACCCTATAAACGCTTCTCTCTCGCCAACTGGCAAGATGTTGAGCTTTGTCGTTACCAGAGGGACACTGGAAGAGGAAGGGGCATTTCTCACAGGTTCCACCGTACTCTCCCCTGCTTGTTCTTGTAGTTGAAAGCGGCCACAGCTTATGAGCTGCACAGGGGCGCTCACTTCCCAGCGAGTTTCATCAGCACCCAAATGGATGGCTTCCTGGTGAGCTCCGCTGGCATCTCAGCCAGGCTTCCAGTGAGTCTCACAGGTGCTCAGCTGGTGTCTTCTCATGATTTTATGTGTGTGTGTGTGTGTGTGTGTGTGTACGTACACATCTATATGTAAAACATTGCCATGATTCTAAAGTTATGTCTACAAAATAAGGAACATTTAGTGAAGTCTAGCTTCCATCCGTGCCTCTCTCTTTTTCCTTTAAGAGATTATTTTTCATTAATTTATCAATTCTTCCATTTTTAAAAATAAAAGCAAAAATACTCATATCTCCCCTTCTTTAAAAGTAGCACACTGTACGTCTGATTCTGTGCTTTGCTTTTTTCCACTTAATATATCCTAAAAATCACTTCATAAAAGTGTGTACAGAAATTTCTATTGCATTTGCTTTGTATTCCACCGAGGGAATGCCCTGTGTTATATTCAGCCATTCCCAAATTGGTGGACCTCTGAATTGCCTCCAGTCTTTTGCTGCTATAGGCAGTGCTTCCGTAAACATGCCTTCATCTTTTGGCCAGTGTATCTTCAGTACTGCGTCCGTTAGCTTTTGCTATCTATAGCACATTACCTCAAAACTCAGTGGCATAAAGCAACAACGTCACTTATCAGCTCAAGATTCTGACGGTCAGCAGTTTGCGCAGGGCTCAGCCCTGTCCTTCCTTCTACTGTTCGCATTCATGTGACTGAAGTCAGCTGTCAAGTCAGTTGGAACTGGATAGTCCAAGTAGGCTCGTTCACTTCTAGAGAGGTCGGTCAGTTGCCACCCAAGGTGCCTGAGCGGCCTCTCACGCTCCAGTGAGGCAGCCAGCCCTCATCCTGCGTTCTTGGGTCTCTCTCAGGGTTCCAGGCACATCAAGAGAGGACAAGCCCCAGTGTACAAGGTTTTTTATCTGAAATCTGTGAGAACAACAAAACCTCCCTCACAGGGTCATTTAATAGAATCAGTGAGATAATGCAGGGAACTCACTAGTATAGTTCTGGCACATAGTTAGTGCTCAATCAGTTACTTAAGCCTATTAAAGAAGTGGAAAGACCAAGTAATGAAAAAAGGAAAATATCTAAGACCAGGAAGTGTGGAGCTTAAGGCAGAAATGACTTTGTTGGCAGTGATTACTGTGTATGTGCTTACCTGTGTGCACAGACTGGGAAAGAACACACAGTTGTGTTTCCTTTCATGTGTTTCATTCAGGGGTGTTCCCCTGTAGACTGAGAGTAGTGGGCTCTTTCTTTGGCAAAGAACTTTTACACTCTTGAGTATGTCAACTCTTAATCCCTGCCTATGGCAAGAAAAGGCAAAACCCTAAGGAGCAGAAGACACTTCTGGTCAGCTCATACCTTAAGCAAATCAGAGTTTTAGAATCAAAATCTGCTGAATAGCTGAGCACCTGACCTACAAACGCTGACATTTCGGTGTACCTCTTCTACTTCTGGTACTCCATCCCAGGGGACTTCACATGTCCTGCCAGAGGCTCCCCCTCCAACCCCTGACCCAGAGCTGCTTAGAGCAAAGTGGTATGTCCTGGATAGCCAGCTCCTTCTAGCCACAGTCCTAGGACTGCAAGTCCTCCTGCTCAGCTGTTCTTCATTCTAGCAGTTTCTGCCCCAAGAATTTAGTATGTCAGATGTAAATTTTGAGGGAGGAAAAAAAATTTATTAGTAAGAGCAAAACTGGACCTAAATTGAAACAAGGAGACAGAATAAAAAATACCAAGGTCTTGGAATTATACTTGTGAGATGTATGAC